CCCCCCCATCATAGCTCATTCACCCACCCACACACAGGTCAACACCGACCCGCTCAGGTTGCTGTGTTTGGATTAAAAGAAACACACACGCACGCACGCAGAGAGACACCCACGCCCACACACATACACACACACACACACACATACACGCCCATCATTCTTGGATAAAAGCAAAACGGCCCCAGTGGCAGAGGTGTGTGTGGTGTGTGTGCATGGTGTTCATGCGCTGGCGGGCTCCTTGATGTCGAGCAGCTTGAGCTTCTCCTGCAGGAACGCGTCAGCCTGCTGCATGTCGCCTACACCAACACACACACGTGTGTGTGTCTCTCTCTCTCCCTGTGTGTGTGTGTGTGTCTGTGTGTCTCACTCTTGAAGTCTTCAATATCGATGGTCTCCGCCAGGTGGTCCACGATACGCATCATCTCCTTCCAGAACCGAATCGCAATCTACACAGACCAACACACACACAGCACCACGACAGACACACATATGACATAAGGCCCCTGCCTGCTCGTGATCATTTCTCCCTCCCCTCCCTCTGTGTGTGCGTGTCGGTGTGTCAGTGCACCTGGAGGTCCTCGTAGGGCGCGAGGCAAGCCGGGAATGCCTTCTGCAGCGCCTCGCGGAAGGCGTCTCGCTGCTGAGAGGGAGTCGACGAAGGGTCGGGCGCCTTGTAGTCCTGATAGATGAACACACACACGCCCCCGCCGTCAGCCGCATGACGCTAATCAAGCCTGTGTGTGTGTGTGTGTGTGGTTACGAGGAAGAATTTGACAGCGACTCCCATGCAGTTCCTGGGGAGCATGAAGGTGGGCAGCGGGGGGTTCTCCTTGACCGGGTTCATGTAGTCCTTCGGCAGGAACTTCTCCTTGGTCACATCCTGCACACACACACAGGGACACACACACGGAGACACACACAGGGGCGGCCATCTCTGTGTGTGTAGTGGTGGTGAGTTGTGGGTTGCTGACCTTGAGGAGGATATGGGCGACGCAGGCCTCGACCATCTGCCTGAGTGTTCTCTTGAGGATCTTGACTATCGAGTGAAACGCCGCCAGGTCAAAGTCAACCTGGTAGACCCATCCCCCCATCCACACACACATCCATCCATCCATCCATGTGTGTGTGTGTGTGCGAGTGTGTTTGGCTGCGCAGCGTACGTCAGCATTCCACATGTCGTGGCTCTTGAGCTTCATCGGTATGAGCGACATGAGCCGCGACAGCAGCAGCGCCGACCGCTGGTTGGCGTTGGCCGCCTCGCTCTTGACATACTTGACGCCCTTCGGAAACGGCCTGACGTCACAAACAAAGGCAGCCAACCACACACACACACGCACCTCCCACGTGTGTGTGTGTTGGGGGTTGGGGAAGGGCTACCTGTCCAGTGGAGCCTCGAGTGGGTCGCCCGACAGGCAGCCGACCTTCATGAGCTCCAGGGCGAACAGGGCGTGCTCCTGGAACTCGCGCGGCGACTGAACCAACGCTGAACCGAAGACGGTCATCCCACCTGCACATCGGCCACAGACACCCACACACATCAACATCCACACATCACATCAGGGTGTGAGAGGGGAGGGGAGCCTTCCTTTGTGTGGTGTGGGGTGTGTGGGGGTGGCTGGCTGGCTGACCGTCTTCTCGTGTGAAGTATCCGACGTTTTCCAGGAGCATCAGCTGGACGAGGGCCAGCAGGGTGTCCTGGTTCGACGGCATCGTGGAACCGCTCTTGGCTGCACACAACACAAACATGCACCCAACGCAGTCCATTTCCATTCAGCCGTCGCTCTCTCTCTCTCTCTCTGTGTGTGTGTGTGTGTGTGCGTGCTGTGGCAGGGGTCACTCCCTCTGGCTGGGTATCTCTCAGACCAGAGAGCCTGATGGCATCTGCCCGTTCTGGCTAGCTCTCTATGCGGTGGGCCGTCGACCCGTCACTCACTCAACAACGAACGTCTCAGTGAGGGGCCACTCATCAACAAACGGCCACCTGGTCGCTGTTCTGCCCCTCCCTCCCTCTGTGTGTATGTGTATGTGTGTGGAGGGGGCTAGGCTGCTCGTACACACATCTGAGGTTGCTGAAGAGTGTCGCGCCTGTTTCCGCCTGCTGGTGGTGCCAGGCGAGGCAGAAGCGGAGGTCGATGATGCCGCCGTCCTTCCTCTCCTTCTTCTGGCGCTCCTGCTCACCCTGCAGATCCTCGGCAGTGAACACCCAACTGAACCCTGCACAACACACACACAGACGTGGAGAGGTGACTGGGAGGGAGGGAGGGAGGTGGAGGGGGGTGGGCTGCGTGCCTTCGTGGCATTTGGGGGGTTCCGGCTCGTTAGCGCTTTCGGACTGGTTGCCACCGTTTTGGTTGCACGAGTATCGCGAGAAAGTGATGGCCCTCTCCTGGAAGGACTTGTGCAGCCGCATGGCCACCAGACCCAGCGCACGACCGCGGTACTCCTTCAAATCCTGCAGAGAGACAGAGAGACCAAGAGAGAGAGGAAGAGCAGCACGGGAGTGTGTTGGTTGGTTGGTTGGTCACTGACTGTCCCGGGGTGTGTGTGTGTGTGTGTGTGTGGTTCGTTACGCACATTGAGCAGGTCCCTGTACTCGTTGGAGTCGACCGTCGGATGCGAGAAATCGTACCACTCGCCCGTCGCCAACACCGTCGGGATCTTGCGCGATATCACACCTGTCCACACACACAAACAAACGCAGGGACGTCTTGTCATCTGAAGCTGAAGGAAGTGGCCCATCTCTCTCCTCTCCCTGCCTGTCACCTTTGGTGAGGAGGTAGTAGAGTGCGCTGGGCAGCTTGGAGCCGACGATTTTGCTGAAGTCGCTGGGCAGCATGACGGTCTGGTTCATGGCCGTGGAGGGGTGGGGCGGGCCGACCTCCCCGTCGAGCTGCATGACCAGCGGGTACTGAATCAGCGCGCGGCACGTGCAGTAGCCGTCAACGTGGTCATTCTTCATCTCCTCGTTGGGGAAATGCTGCCCCACACACACACACACACACACAGGGGCGGAGGGGCGGGTCAATGGTTGTTCACCTGGCTGCCCGGCTGGCTGGCTGGCTGACCGACCTGCATATAGCTGATGAGTGGGGCCTGCTTGATGAACTCGATGGCCGTCCCAAAGGTGAAGTGGGCCGTGCCTGCGTGGAACTGTGTCAGGTTGAGGTACGGGAAGGTCAGGCAGTACTCCGTCCCCGCCAGCAGACAGGCGTCCACAAACTGCTCCTTGTTGACGCTCCACGTCTGCAGCAGCCTCGACAGCTCCACCCAGTCGAAATGCTCGTTCTTCCAGTCGATCCCGATGACCACCTTGCTCACGCCGTAGAGCAGCAAGGCCGGCGGCCCAAACACGGCGTCGAAGTAGTTCTTGTCGACGAAGTAGGCGATCTGCGCGGTGGCGAAGTAGGGCGCCTGGATGCACTCGCAGTCCTTGGTCCGCAGGTAGTGGAACACGAACTGGGTGAAGTCGCTGTTGATGCGGCTGGTGGCCTGGGCGAACCGCTGCTGCGCCTGGAACCGGTCGCCCTCGGTCAGCAGCTGCCAGGCGTCGTCCATCTGCTGGTGCAGCTGACTCGAAAACAGCTGGTGACTCCGGGGCTGCATGCCTGAACCACCACACAATCACATCATGTGCCTCAGCTCTGACTCTCGCCGTGCCTATGTCTCCCTCCCCTCCCCTCCTTGTGGCTGTCTGCCTGTCTGTCTGTCTGTCTGCCTGACCTTGGAAGATGAAGACCGGGCTGATGTTGTTCTTCTTGAACTGGTCCAGCTCCCTGTCGATGACGCCGTACATGGCCGGCGGCAGGCCCCCCAGGGCATCCGCAAACGGGTCTTTGAGGCCGCTGAGGGTCCTGGTCCAGTAGACGGCGTCGATGCCCACGCGGAACCCGTGTAGGTTCTCGAGGCTGTTCTGCATGACCAGCTTCTGGTCCTGCAAAAACGTCTGCAAGTGACGCACGCGCATCTTTGGTTTGTTTCTTGCTCCCAAAGCTCCCTCCTGCTGCGTGAACGAACCTGCATGAGCAATTCAATCATCACACAAACCGGCACGGTACAGTGAGCGTGTGCCAGCTGTGGCGCGTTTGCTCCGTCCGTGCACGTGTGTGTGTGTGTGGTCTTACGCTGTGCTTTGTTGTTTGTCAGATCAGTGTGCCGCCCGAGGAGCAGATCACAAGGAAACCTGCCAGTGCACTGTCTCGACCGCAGTCTTCAGACGGTCAAGAGCACGGTGTCAGACGCCGGCTGGTTGAGGCGGCGGAAACCGACAGACAAGAAGCGATGAAGGGAAGGGTAGAGAGGGAGGGCAGGCAAGGATGCCGGCTGAAAATGGCACGCACACCGGAGATCTCTGCCCTGTGGCTGCTGGCCTTCCCGCTCCTCTCTCTCAGCTCGCCGCTGCGAGCTTGAAGCCAATCGCAGTCCAATTGGCTCAATAGGCAGAAAGAAGTGAGGAACAGCAGAGGCGGAGGGCCAGCGCCTTCTAGGATGGACAGGCTTCCCCCCGAGCATTTGCAGGCGTCCCTCGGCTCCCTCAACGTGCCTGGGCTGCTCGTGGCGAGGGCGGTGTGCCAGGCGTGGCGCAGGTGCATAACACACACATGACCGACCCAACACAAGCACGAAATGCCCCACACACACAGAATGAAGAGTGTTTTGTGTGTTTGCTGTGTGCCCTTTGGTGCGACTTCTCCAACAGGAGCGTGTGTGAGATTCTGAGGGTGAGCAACAAGCAAGCACGTCTTCAACGGGCCAACGGGCCGTCATCACCGCTGTCTTTTCCTTCCCTGCCTGCAGCAAGGTTTCGACGTCTCGTCAGCGGACACCACCACCAGCAGGACGAGCTTGCCAGGTAGGCACACACACACACAGAACACACACACGCACACACACACATGTGGTGCGCGTGTGTGTGGTGTTGGGCAGACGAGGGTCTCTTCCACCAGCTGGCCACCAGCTTCGGCACACGCAAGTGGTCCCTGGCCCGGATATCGCGCATCCTGCGGGTGTTCGACGCCAGCGGCCACGTGTCTGCCAGACTCACTAGTGACTCGGACTTCGTGGCCCTGCACCACCGGCTCTCCAGATGGGGCGCCGGCAGGGAGGCGCCCAATGCTGGTACGAACGCACGTGGGCAGGACGACACCATGTTTGTCACACGGTCGTGCAGAGGGGGTGTGTGTGGGGTGTGTGTGTGTGTGTGTGTGTGCAGATTTGGTTCACCTGTTCAACAAGGCCGGCCGTCGTCTGCACACGGTGACGCAGGACGATGCGCCCGTGTGGCTGGTGGTGGACCTGGGGCCCTTCCTGAGACTCACCCCCTCCGCATACTCACTCAGACACAACTCCAAGTAACCAACAAACAGACGAGTGTGAAGGCAGACTACCAGATCACTCACAAGTGACACGACACATATGACGCGTCGTCGATATGTCGATTCTTACCCTCTGTGCGCAATGTGGTTTGGTTTGGTGTAGGGGCTGTGCGCCACGCAATTGGGATTTCTACGCCTCGGCGGATGGCGACCGGTGGACGCTGCTCAGACAGCACAGAGGCGACACCGCACTGCAACAGGTGAATGGGTGGGTGGGTGGGTCGACCAAACGGCCAGCCAATTCATTCATCATCCTTCCCGTCTTCTGACCTTGGCCTTTTCCAGGAGCCCGGCAGCGCGGCGCGTTGGTGCATCGACGACCCCTCCAGCTCGGCCTCCTCGCCACCATCCGCCCACTCACGCCGCACCCTGCCCCCATCATTCCTCCCATCTCTGCAGCTACCACCAACCACCACCACCACCATCATGACCACCGGCAGCAGCAGCACCAGCTGCAGCACGAGTGCCAGCGCGTCCCCTTCCTCCCCGCCCCACCCGTCCCATCGCTCCTGGAACCCTCGGCCAGCCACCCACCAGCGGTGTGAGGGGTGGCTGGCCAGCGGGCGGGTGGGGCCTTCACGGGGCGTGGTGCGGCCGCATGTGGACGGTGTCCGTGAGGGGTACCGCTTTTTCTGTGTGTGCATGCCGCCCAGCGGCGACAGGGGGGAACGGACGGAGCTGCACGTCAGCGGAATGGAGCTCTTCGGCAGGCTGCAGATACTGGTCAGCTAGATGACAGACTGGCGGGCTGGCGAGCTGGTGTGATATGGATGGATGGATGGATGGGGGATGGACACAGACAGACGGACGTGAATGCGCTGTCGTGAAATTCTGTGTTTGTATAGCAGTGGTCGCGCCGCCCCATCTGCGTGCGCTTGTAGAGTACGGGTCAAGCTGTGTACCATACTTCCTGTCTGCCTGTCTGTCTGTCTGTCTTTGCTCTTACCTTACTGGGCTTCTCTTTTTGGCCTGACTGTATGAGCGATGCAGCCACCCCCTGTCAGTGGGGTTGACTTGACTTGACTTGGTGGTCCATCCGTCGCATCTCCCCCTCTCATGCCATGCTGTCTGGCGACGTTTGGGGGGAGGCAGCACACTCTGTCTCCCTGCATGCCATCCGTCACGAGGTGGACGAGGAAACGCCACCACAGGTGGCTGGCCAGAGAACACCTCTAGGGACGTCTAGGTATCTGCGGGAATTGATTGGGGACGGGTGTCCCCGGGTAAATCGGGTTGTATCATTGTTTCTCTGCCCGTGGTGTGCCTCTCGTGTTTCGATGCGGCTCGCCAGGCTGGCCTGCTGTCGAGTCCACTCGGTCTGTGGGCCTGCCTTTCGTCCCGCTTCATCAACACGGGCACCTTGGGTGGGGTGGTGGTCGGGGCGCTGTCGTATGGCCAGCAGGGTTTATATAGACAGTCAAGTACGCAATGCTGAAAGCTGCATTGACTGGCGTAGCAGCAGTGTCTCTTTCTGTTTTGGTGTCGCCAAGCCACGAACGAATCTATACAGGTAGGAAGGCCAACCATGCACAGCCAGCCAAACGACACAGAAAGGCCCGCATCTTCACACTCGCACCCCCTCCCCCACCCCATACACACGCACTCGGTCACATCCCGAACGGCCCTGGGGCCAGGTTGAGCACATAGGCCGCCATGAGGCCCACCACAGCCGCCCTGCAGCAGGCAAGGCAGTCGAGCGCACACACACACAGGCACACACAAGAGACTCACCATGAGTGTGTGAGGGTGAAGACGAACAGGTCTGCACTGCACTTACCCGGCCGACAACCTGAGCCGACTTGTCTCGGCGTCGCACTGCTTCATGAGGCAAAATTGCCGGACGGCGGCCAACAGGGCACACCACGCAAACCCCTTGTACTAAAAGACGCACACACACACACATACACACGCACACATCATGATGCTGTCAATACGCCAGTGACAACTGTGAGCACACCTGGAAGTAGACCGCTGGGATGGCACAAAAAAAGGCAAGGAACGCCATGGCCTCACACTCGGCGTCGCCCTCGGGAGCACGGGGACGGTACTCACGCGCACGGGAGAGATCTCGCTGATCTGATGACAGACAGGATGAGCAACGACCACCATGCACAGAGCACAGGAAGTGGCAGCCATGGCGCCATTCAGGCGTGTGTGTGTTGGCTGCCATCTCCCCAGACTCACCGCTGAGCACTGCTGGTCCCTCCTTCTTCCTCATCTCCCCAGCGGTGACAAACACGATATTCTCGGGATGAAACGCAATGAATCGCTGATTGTGAGGCCTTTACAACACGCCTGCAAGATTTTGTGAGCGCGGGCGTCTGCGAGCTTAGCTTCGGAAAGTGTTAGGGTGTAGGGTTCTGGGTTTGCAGAAGGAGGAGGCTGCCAAGCAGGCAGGCGGCCAGACAAGGAAAAAGGTGGGTTGATCTTAGCTCCGGAGCATGCTAGTCGTTGGCCCAGCTGGCTTCGAGACCAAGCCCTCGCTTCGCTTTGTATCTGCCGCTTCCAGGCATGAGTGACCCGTCCCTCCTGAGCATGTCGACAACAACAGGCTCTTCCACTCGGCAGCCGTCCAACCCCATGACGTCGCCTGAGCCGTCAACAGCAGCAGTGCCGCACATGACCTCGGTGCACGAGATAGGCGCGAATTCGGTGAGTGTGCCGGGCATGGGGCTGGACACGGTGGAGGAGGAGAGCGTGGCGAGGGGGAGCATGTGGAACGTCCTGAGGAAGCTGGTGGCCTTCATGGGACCGGGATGGCTCGTTGCTATGGCGTACCTTGACCCAGGTAGGTGGGCACCCAGCCCCACACAACACACTCACACACGATTCACGTGTGATGCTTGTCTTGTACGAGTCATGGTGCAGGGAACATTGAGGGCGACTTGCAGGTGGGTGCATTGCGACGTCCCGGGGACGTCTCGGCGGGGTACCGCCTCCTGTGGGTGCTCATGTGGTCGACAGCCGGAGGGCTGCTGCTGCAGTGCCTGGCCGTGAGGCTGGGCAACGTGACGGGCAAGGGCCTGGCCGAGTTGTGTCGGCTCGAGTACTCGCGACCCATGAGCATCCTCCTCTTCACCATGACGGAGATCGCCATCATCGGGGCCGACTTTCAGGCCGTCATCGGCAGTGCAGTGGCGCTCAAGCTGCTGTTCGACATCCCTTTGTGGACGGGCATGCTCCTCACCCTCATCGACACATTCACCTTCCTCTTCATCGGCTACTTCGGCGTCCAGCGGCTCGAGCTCCTGTTCGCCGCTCTCATTGGCCTCATGGCCGTCTGCTTCTGGACCAACCTCATCATCTCTCGCCCAGACGTCTTCTCCATCTTCCGCGGGCTGGTGGTGCCGAGCGTGCCGAGGTCGCGAGACGGGATGCTGTCTGCGGTGGGGCTGCTGGGGTCGGTCATCATGCCGCACAACCTGTACCTGCACTCGTCGCTGGTGCTGTCGCGGAGGGTTGAGCGGCATGAGCTGTCCAAGGTCAAGGAGGCTAACTTCTACTCGTGCACTGAGGCGGGCCTGTCGCTGGTGGCCTCGTTCCTCATCAACATTGCCGTCATCTGCGCATTCGCCAACTCCAAGATCAACCGATCTGGCGAAGAGGTCAGTCAGGGAGGGAGGGAGGGAGGCCGACAGACGAGAGCAGCCGTGAGCCGGCCAGCGACACATACGTGTTTTGTGTGTGTGTTTGGCAGCGGCTAGATCTGTACAACGCCCACGATGCCCTTGCTGATGCATTTGGGCAGGTAGGTAATCATGACGAGACAACGGCGACTCCAGATTCGATCGCGTGTGTCTGCGGGTGTATGCTGCAGGCGTCCGTGTACATCTGGGCCATCGGTCTGCTGGCGGCCGGTCAGAGCGCCACCATGACGGGCACTTACGCCGGCCAGTTTGTCATATCGGGATTCTTCAACTTCCATATGAAGCCATGGCTGCAGGTACGTCACCGGGCACTGGTGACGCACGCACAGACGTACACCTGTTGTCTGCTTTGTGTGTGTCTTCCTGTAGGTATTGATCACCCGTCTGTTGAGTGTGTTGCCGTTGCTGGTCACGGTGGCTGTCCTGAAGATCGACGATCTGCTCAAGCTGGCGGCCTACCTGAATCTGCTGCAGGCCATCCAGCTGCCCTTCGCTCTGGTGCCCGTGCTCAAGTTCAACACGAGCCGCAAAGCGGTCGGTGCCCTTCGGCTGGGCTGGGGCGTGCGCACAATCACGATTGCCATCGGCCTGGCCACGATCGTGGGCAACTTTGCCACACTCATCCCGACATCAGGCGACGACACCCGCATCCTGACGGCAGCGGCGGTCATATATTCCCTGCTCGGCGTTGTCTATCTGTCGGTCATTGGGTACCTGGTGTGGCGACCCATGCAGGGCCACCACTGCCTTTATCGACGGCACTCTCTGCTGGACCCACTGGTGTTGCAGACCGTCGCACATCAGCCAGACATGGATGGCAGCAATGATGCTAATGGTGTCGAGATTAATGGGGATGAGGGGGGCAAGTCTGGAGGGTATCAGAGCAGCGACAGTAACGGGGGGAAGGTGCATCCAGGGTCTGCAGAGAGGACGTCAATAAGGTGATAATTGTATGATTGATGCGCGACTTTCATATTGAGTGTGTGCACCCACCCACCCAGAACACCCACAGTGTACCTTAGGCCGTCATCACATCTCTGTCTGGCTTCATGCGCACATGAATGGATGGATGGACGTATCAGTGTTGCAACGCCACTGACTGGGTGTGTCTCTCGGGTTCATGCGTGTGGCTCCCAGACAGCGAGTGATGTACGAAGCTTCACGCATGAATGACATCGTGTGAATGTTCACTGATCTAAAACCCGACGTCAAGCTGAACAACCTCTCATGTCAACGCATCGCATCAATCTGGATCAAACGAAACTCGACAGATATAAAACGTAGGCAGCGATTGTCACATCCCACAGCGTCATCGCAGAGACACCACCCGCTACCCCACCCACCGGACCGACCAAACCCCTACCCTCCTTACCCGTACCCCCCTTTAGTGGCCCATGAGCACCTGCACGTCCCGGCAGGTGTCGCTGAGGCGCAGCCGGCCCAGCGTGCAGCGCAGGCCGTTCTCGACGGCCGTCTCGATCAGGTGCTCTAGGAGGTCGTCCCCGGGCTGCAGCGGGTGGGTGGCGAGCAGGCCCGCCCCGATGTGGTGGAGCTCGCCGTTGGAGAAGTCGTACTGGGCGGGCTGGCTGGGCGCCTGCGCCCTTCTGGCAGCGGAGACCCGCAGGCCAAACAAGGCGCACCGCAACCCGATGCAGTCCCGGGGGTGGGCGTAGAGGTACGACACCTTGCGGACGGCTTAGGCAAACTGAGCGCTGCACACACGACACATACACAGAGAGAGATGCCGTGACATGACGATAGTGACATTATCTCCCCATGTGTCTCCCTCCTCGTCAGTCTTACGGATGGCGGCAGGCTTGGATGACGGTCCGAATCCAGGCCTTGTACGCCGCATCCGCCCAGCTCCTGTCGATCTTGTCCCGAGATCGAAGCCGGCGCTGTGGCACTGTGAGGCCTCTCGTGTAGAGATTGATCCCCACTCCCCGTAAGGCTGCCGCCTGCGCGTTGTTGAGGAGGAAGAGCGCTTTCGGCAAGGCAAACCTTACGGGGATGAGGATGTCGGCGCCGTTCATCATGCGGATCCACAGCCCGCCCGCCGCCCGTCGCCACATGACCGCGCCCCTTGCGTTAAGCATGGGCTGGTCGGGCAGGCGGGCCAGCAGCAGGCGGGCGATGGGGACCGCTACGCAGCAGAACCACACGTAGAGCCGCACTCGTACTGATGGACAAACAAACAGGGAACAGTGATGCATTCACTGGTTTTGACCGACATGTGTGTGAAGAGTGAGGTGGTTGAGGTCTCCTTACACTCTGGGCAGGGCTGCGGCGTCCACACGTAACATGTTGCGTTGATGAAGATCCACTCATAACTGACACAAACAGACGAAGGATTACCACACACATTAACACAACCAAGCTGTGGTCATCCTGTCCGCCATTGTGTTGCCTTCCTTCCAATCCGCGTTTATCCCCACAGAGTTGCTGCAGCGCCTTGAGGGCCCGGTTCGGCTTGTCGCCGAGGTGGTGGAAGTGCCCCCCTTCGCTTTCAGCGCGTAGTGAAGATAGATGGGAGCGTGTTTGAGGATCGACGGAGGGCTCAATACTGTGTCTTGCACCCTTGTTGACAACCGTTTTCATCACCACCACCGCCTCAGCACGGCCCTCATACACCGACATCAAACCCTGCACATCCAACAAACCAACCAACGCATATGTGCTGCTTTCGTCAATTGACTTTCTTACGTACCTGCGTGTGAAGTGTGCAGCTTGGAATTGTGAGTGCTGCGCTTCTTGGCGCCGTCCGCTCGCCCTCTCGCTCTTCCTCTCAGCCCGCAACAGCATCCACCATCTCACTCAACTGCACACATCCATCCATCCATCGATCCATCCATCAAAGTAGGACACACACCACATAAACAGCCAGTTTCCCCTTCATTGTGTGTGTGTGTGAATCACCTGTCTTGCCGTATTCGATGAGCTCAGCCACAGTGGGCCTGGTGGGCAGAGGTAGCTCTCGAACTTCAGCGTCGGCACCACCACCACTCAGCACGACGCTCATACACTGACACCGAACGCTGTACACACCAACAAGTGCATCTTTGTGCCGCCAACAAGTGCATCTTTCCATGTGTCTCTTGTTTGTACGCTCTCACCTGCAGGGGACTCAGTCACGGCAGTGGTCGTCGCGAAGGGGTTGAGGCGAGACGACACACTCGACACCGACGCAAGCTGATGCGACAACGAAGCGGAACTCTCCCTGCACAATCATGATCACACACGAAGGAATGAATGGAAGCAGCCAATCGCTCATCATTGATCGACTGATTCACTGATTTACTTGCGGTAGGGGCGGAACGTCGGCACAGAGAGAATGATGGGCTTCATGACGGCTGCACCACCACCAGCAGCAGCAGGGGACTCAGTCACGGCAGCCTGATCGTATACACACACACACAGGTCGCTGTGAATGCAATCTCTTTCAGTTCGCTTGCCTTGTGTGCTTCCTGCGAGGCGCCACTGCTGGCTGCTGCTGGTGTTGCAGAGGATGATCCGGGCGAGCAGTCCTCGCGGCCGCCCCAGCTCTCATCGTCGTCATCGGGATCATCATCCCACTCAAAACCTAATATGATACAGACAGGCATGCATGATCATGAGGATTTCACGAGCTCACCGGGAAAGTATGGCTTGCAGCCCTGTGTTATCCCCAGGAGAAGGAGGAGCCTCTTGGCCTCGAAGTTGAACAGCCCGCAAAGCCCGCGCCGCTTCGACCACTTGCCATTCCGTAATTCGTTGCTGCACATGGGAATACACAGTCTCTCTGTCTGTTCTTTCCCTTCCTCACTTACTCCACACGCCTCAGGATTGATCGGAGCCAGATTGCGAACCTCTCGGCGCTCGTGAACATGCGACGCGCTTCCCAAATGTCTGTCCCGGCTTGGACTGCCGCCTCCTAACACACTCACACAAAACACACACACCGATGTATGTGTGAACGGGAGCGGCGTCTCTGTGTACTTCGGTATTGCCCCTTCGGTTGTTCTCATCGAAAGCATCACGGGCCAAACCTGACATGCACGAAGTGGACACATGCACGAAGTGTGACCGTCGCTTAGATGAGGGTGTGGATGAAGACCTTGTAGGCCGCGTCAGCCCTGCTGCGCTTGAGGGTTCGCCGAGACCAGCGGCGCCGCTGCTGGGCCGTGAGGCCGCGATCGCTGACCCAAAGAGACAAAGGAGCACCCGCACACATGAACACAACCTTGCTGTCGTCATCCTGTCCGTCATTGTGTGTTGTCTTACTTCCAATTCGCGTTGTGCCCACAGAGTTGCCGTGCAGCTGCAGGTAAGTACTGGACGACGAATTGTAGGTAGTACCATAGGTTGATTGCCACGTACTGCCAATCAAACACACAAACACACCAAAAAATCTAACGAATGACGACGTTTGTGTTGATGCATTTTCATGGATGCATCAATGTGAGAATGCATGTGGTGCAATGATGCATTACTTACCTCGTTTGTGTGATGGTGGCGTGCACTGAAGTGCAGCAGGTTGGCATACACCTCACGATGGTCCGGGTAGACCATCCCCGCAACCGACCACACCCCAGCCACCAGGACCGCGGCAGCATATTTGGGAAGAGCAGGCTTCGCCAGCGGCAGCGCTGCACGATCCGCTTGGCCTCTGCGGGAGGCGCATCGTGGCGGCCTGCTGTGGCTGATGGGCGGATGAGTTGAGGGGGCTTGGGCTGGTGGATGGGGATGGGCAGCCTTTGATAAGATTTCAGCGAAAGAGAGAAAGAGGGGATGGGCGAGGATGCAGGATTGTCGAGTGCTTGAGCAGCGAATGCGCAAGCAAACTCCTCCCACCAATATCGGCAGCATATTTGGGTGCAACAGCGCCCGTCACTGGGTGGTGGGTGACGTGGTGGGTGGGCGTCTGGATGGGGAAGGTCGGGTGATATCCGACTTGTTGTGCGGCATATAGGTGCCAGCCGCTGGCTGGAAAGTGAGAGAGGGCTGCACCAGTGCCAGAGGATGACGGTGATGCGGGGAAAAGGTCGCGGCCCAAAAGTGGGGGCTGCGAAAAAGCTGCCGTCTCAATTCTCGCCAGTCTCGTATTTCTCGCCGGTGCCTTTGTCTTCTCACGCTCGGTTCATTCCGTCATGGAACTATCTCACATAGTGTTCCCATCCGTGACACAGAAATGTCTGTACATGCCCACAATTGAAAAAGCCGTCCGTTGACGGCGCAGTCACTCACTCCATGAGCAAACCATCTGCTTCTCACCTCCCCTCTCCTTCCCCACCCCCAGGGCCGCTCTAACCCCCCCTAGATGTGCAAGTAGGAGAAGGCCAGCGCCTCCATCCATGCGCCAAGGTTGTAGCTGCCCGCCGGCGCCAACGCGGCCGCACAAGAGAATGCGGCCGCGAAAAATGGCGTCAGTTCCCAACTGTCGCCGCCGCCACTACCTATCGTCAGGTACTGCCCTCCCCGCAGCAGTGACTCTAGGTGGAGCAGGCAGAAGACGAACAGCCCCAGGCCCAGCAGCAGCGACACGTAGTACGCGAAGGTGATGATGGAGATGCCGCGGCTGCCGACGTTGAACGTCTTGTAGAGGGTCGCCACGCGGGCAAGGGTCTCGAGTTGGAGAGCGCTGGACAGCAAGATCAGCGGCCAGAAGACGACGATCCAGTGCCATGACAGGGAGCTGTCGGCCTGTCGCCATACACAGCAGAAAGATCACACACATGTGTGACGGCAACACGTGTTGGTCCTACAGCCTCCCTCGCGCACCTTCATGCTGATCATGAAGATGGACACAAACAGCACGGCTGCCGCGATGCCGGCCCTCAAGCTTTGCCCCGTCCGAATGATGATCGTCTTGAACACGGCAAGCAGCAGCAGCATTTCTATGGGTATGACCACCACATGGAACCGGGCCGTCGACACGTGGAGGGCTTTGCTGTACAGAATGGAGGTGGAGAGGCACAGGGCGACGGCCACCAGGAGGCTCTGCAGGTTGGCGAACATCGATCGCCACATGCTGCAGATCTCCGTCTGGATGGCGAAGTAGATGCCGACGGCGAGAGAGGCTGCGGTGAGGATGAGCACCTCGAGCGAGAACAGCAGCAGAGGGAGGACGACGTGCTGGGGCAACACTGATGGATAGATCTGCACAACACAACACGCACAGGACAGCACACACACACATGGGAGGCTTGTTCCCGCGCGAAATATCGTCCCCCTTCAAGTTGTCACCCACCTGGTTGACGTATAGGAAGAGCATCACGAGGCTGGCGCCAAGATGGGCATACAGTGCGGTGCCGACAACCCACAGGTACACCATTCGCAAGCTGGAATGAGTGATGTAGAATGTCTCCAGCTGCTTCGCCAGCTTCTCTTGCCGCTTCAGACGCTGTATGCGGGCTGTGCGGACCGGACACGCATTGAGGCAGGAAGAGCAGCATCAGCGACTGCGACAGCATTCATGTGTGTGTTGTCCACACGTACCTTCGAGGCTCTTTGAGGTCGTGATTGGAAGGTATTGCCTCTGCTTCATTGTCGACAGACCACCCATGGATGCTGCGGCTCCTCAACAGAAACTGCGCTACACGGGCACCAGACGCACCGATAGGTCTTCTGTAATCATGTCGCTTCAACTGGTTCTGTACTGCAGATCTTGAAGCAGGGCAACGAGTGCAGAAGGGGAGGGGCGTGCGCCTTTGGTGGTGACGATTAAGGGTAAGATTGTCCGTGTGTCCTAATTTTTTGAGCTCGCCCAGAGAGAAGTAAGGCCTCCGCTGCCTCCTCCCTGAGCATCTTTTGGTGCAGATGAGGCTTTTCGCATCTTTTCTGCCTCACTTTTTCATCTCCGCAATGGTGCTCCTCTGCCGCACGTCGGCCTTCCAGATCTCGAGAGCGATACGTGCTATGAAGGGGCCGCAAGGCGGCCGGCCCTCACCATGGAAGATGCAGTCATCGACAACAGACAAATATCGCCAAGATCCACCGAAGCCCAGGAAGGTGCGTGGCCACGCAGCTAGTCAGCACGATGAAGGGACGACAGCTGATCTGATCTGATCATCTTTGCAAGGATGCATCCATAATGCATGCGCTGTGTTCGCCAGTTTGCCATCCGTCCCGACAAGGCCCTCGACATCGCAACGGCATCAGCAGGCCTGGTGTTCCGCCTTGGGTCGGGCGCTTTGGTCAACGGTTATCGCGTGTCCTTCGAGAAGGCCGACACTGACACTCCAAAGGACGCGCCACAGACGCGAGCGCCGAGCGGCCTTGACGAGGATGAGTACACCTTCGTGACAGTGGCTGGGCGGAAGACGGTAGGTAGACCTCTAACTGCAATCACGTGAAGAAAGCTACAGTCGCAATTTCCCAACCTCTAATCATCACTTAGGTGGAGACCAACAGGCTTGGGAAGCGGCCTGCCGTCCCGCTAGAGCTCTATGAGTTCGAGGGATGCCCATTCTGCCGAAAGGTGAGCGACGAGAGAGGAGAAGGGGGAGGGGCCGGAGGGCGACATTCCCTGTGTGTGTCTTGACTGTCGTGTGACGGTCAGGTTCGTGAGGCTGTCAGCATCCTTGGTAAGGCCGGACGGACACAAGAGGAGACGAATGTGATGATCATCGACCACTTTCCCTCTCTCCCTCTCTCTCTGCGTGTGTCTGTCTGTCTGTCTCCCTGCAGACCTGGACGTGCTGTTTTACCCGTGCCCCAAGGACGGCAAGGTGTATCGGCCACGGCTAGTGGCCCGCGCGGGAAAGAGCCAGTTCCCATACCTTGTCGATCCCAACGAGAAACTGGAGATGTACGAGTCTGACGGTAAGGAAGCGCCAAGGAGGGGAGGGATATATGGAAGGGGCCGAGTCTGTTGCACAAAGCAAGCTGCTGTCCCACATGTGTGTTTGTGCGGTGCGCGTGTGTTCGGTTCAGACATCATTCAGTATTTGTTCGACACGTATTCTGACGGCAAGGTGCCCCTCTTCCTGCGGCTCGGCCCCTTCACCACCATCACCTGTGGGCTCGGGCTGGCACCGCGACTCGGGAAGGGATCGAGATACATACCGGTATGCGTGTGGCCAGCCAGCTGGATGGATGGATGGATGGACAACATATGTCCTCCTCTGTCGCATTTGTGTCTGTGTGTGTGTGGTTTCAGAGCAAGAGCCCACGGGAGCCGCTCATTCTATGGGGTTATGAGGGATCGCCATTTGTCAAGATCGTGCGAGAGGTGCTTTCATCCCGCGAGCTGCCGCACCTGATGAAATTCTGTGCGAGGGGCAGCCCCAAACGATCGGTAAGGTTTGTGAGGCCCCTGCCTGTGTGAGTGTGCGTGGAATGGATTTGTGTGTCTGTCTGCCTGCAGGCTCTGCTCAAGAAGACCGGCACGTTCCAGGTGCCGTATCTAGAAGACCCCAACACAGGTGTCAAGATGTTCGAGTCAGCCGAGGTATGTGGGCGTGCCGTGCGGGAGTGTCTGTCGGCCGGAGATGGGAATGATTGCGTTGCGTGAATGTGGTGTGGTTCTCTCTCTTGGGCTTCATTCAGATCGTCAATTATCTGAATGACGAGTACGGCGTGTCGAGCGACGAGCAGCAGCCTGTGGGCACCAGCAGCATGACCACCACCACATCAGCAGATGACAGATAGATAGAACCAAATACATGACGCATGGTGAATAAATGGCAGCCAACGACTTCAGCTGTCTGTCTAACTGTCCTGTGAGCTGGCAAAGCCAACCTCTAGCGTGCGTGCGGAGCGAGGGAGGGAGGGACTTAGCGAGTGATGGGGCGGGGTGGGCTGCTCTGGGGTGCCCAGACGAATTGATGGATGGATGGGCGCATGGAGCTTGGCGGCTCGTAGGTTTTGGCTTGTGTCTGTACAGCATCATGCCCAAATACTTGTGTGTGTGGGGTGAGGATGTGGGTGTCTGCAAATGAAGTCCATCCGGTGCATGTGGTAGGCCGCAATAGCGGCTAATAAATAATGCGTGTGTGATCGGAGAAGCCACAGACTCAGACAGACAGAGAGGCATTAATTCTTTTTCGGTTTGCGACGGACAGACTGACGGTATGCATTGACAGAAAGGTGACCCACGCATGCTATCAATGATCCTTCAGTCAGTCGTTCGCATATATAAAGCTCAAGCATCCTTACAAGAGAGCTAGCTAGCCAAGCCGGGGGCAACACAGGAAGCGAAGCTCGTTATGTACACACAGATGTAAGTCGGAAAGCGGTAGAATGAGAGGCGACGCAGAGGGGGGAGGGAGAGGGAGGGACACAGACAGACACGCACACTCAGACTCATTTTCGCAGAGAGCCACGCATCAAGTGTGCGAGAGAGAGTTCACTCATCGTCACATCAGCCCATACACACCGAAAAACCTACGTCGTCATGGCCTAGCCACACACCATCTATCGCATCCCCTCACCCTCCCTCCCTCTCCCTCTCTCCCTCACTGCTCCTTCTTGTCCTCCCCCTCCCCCTCCCTCGTGTCGGCGTCCCCGCCCTCCTGCACCGCCGCCCGGATGGGCATCTCCTCCAGGTAGGCCAGATAGCAGTACACGGCCAGCACCATCTGCACCGCCAGCACAGCCGCCGCCCCGGCGTAGGTCAGCCGGGCGTTGGTGCGCACCTCCACCCACCCCTGGCTCATGATGTACAGGGCGGCGTAGAAGACGCCCACGGGGATCAGGAAGAGCACGATGGACGTCAGCCAGAAGCGCAGGCTGACGTCGCGGTTGTCGGGGTTGAGCAGGAGCTGCGCGAAGGAGTACTTGACCCGAGGCTGCTCCTTGCCGGGTGGCGCCTTGGCTGCCGTGCTGCCCTCCTTGTCGGGGCTGTCCGTGGCTGCCGCAGATGCTGAACTCGCCATGGTCGAACGAGATCTTCCTTGACGCAGCCTTCAGCTCGCACCGACAGCCTAGGGTAGCTCTGAAACCGCTGCTGCGACAGCCGTTCGCTACAGGAACTGTTGAAGGACGGCGCTCCTCCAACAACTTGATCTGCATCCGCCCTGAAGGTCCTTCCGTCAGATCTGCCATCTGCCTCATCAGCATCGTCACGCGACATGACGACTGAAGTGGTGAAGCTCAACGTGGGCGGCAAGACGTTCGAGGTGGCCAAGAGCACGCTGATGAAGCACCCTGACGCCATGCTGGCCAAGCTCGTCGATGAGAAATGGACGCCCAACCAGAGCGAGGCCCTCTTTGTCGATGCCGATGGCGACTTGTTCGCCTACGTGCTGCAGTACTACCGCAGGGGCACGCCTGTGAGCGTGCCGCATCACGATGGCGTTACAAAGGACCAGGTGGGATCACGCATCACTGCAAATATCATGCTCGAACACCTGAGGCACTCACCGACTGACATCTGTGTGTGTGTGTCGTGTGTGTGTGCATCACTTTATCAGCTCAAGAAGGAGTTCGACTACTTTGGTATTCCGCTGAGCGACGACATGATTGCCGTGGAACTGGCACCCTCATTCGCCGACCTCAATCGTGCCCGCGATAGATGCCTTGTTCAGGCACTCGAGGGGCTCGACAACCAAGCTGCAGCATTGTCGAGCGAGAGGACGACTTACATGTCGTTGAGAATTGCGAGGCAGGTCCTCTCCCGCCTTATCGACAAGACCGAGGCCTATTGGCGTCAACCGTCGGCTCACGCACAGCATGGACAGACCGAGGTGCGGCTGCAACCCGAGTTCGCCGATGCAAACAAAGCCTTGCAAGCTGAGCTACGAGGGTACAGCAAGGAGAGAATGTTGGAAGTTGCTGGCAACGTCAAGACGATCCTGGAGGACCTGGGCTTTACCGTGGTGGTGTGCGAGACAGGCCACAACCTCGGTAACCTCACGCTGACTTACTGAGTGCGCGTGGAGGTGCCTTTTTTCTTGGCCCTTGCCTTCAATGTGCTGTGAAGGCTATTGGCATCAAAGCGTGGATTGGAGATGTGCGACTTCACGCTCACTTACTGAAGAGAGATGAGTCAGAGTAATGTGGATGCGTGAAGGTGTCCTTCTTTTGTTGTTTTTCTTTTTCGCCTGTGCCTTCGATGTGCTGTGAGAGGTGCGTGGCGGAGCTGAGACTCAGCTTCTGAGGGGACATGAGAGGGGGGGGGGGGGCTCTCAGCTGCAAGCGGGG